CTTTGATGCTGTCATTGCAATGCGGCAGTAACAACATGTTGTGCTCAGGGATTCATACCCACCTCACTGGACCAGATTCATCTCTGGGGTCTTCATTTGCCATCATAGTGCTCACTCACTCTGAGCTGATCTGGATGCTCACAGCATCCCTGTTTTACTTTCTCCCCTCAGACATTCCAGGCTAACAGTACTGCTATCTTGTAGCACTTTGAATTTAAACACAAGCTTGGGGGATAACTGTACCCTGGTGCATTCTTCACAAACTGGGCACTGAAAGTTCACTTGCCTCGCAATCCACACCATTTCTCATCGATGATAATTTTTTGCTCCCTTTGAAATTTGATATCCTTGCATTAGTCCTGATGAGTGCAAGGTGAAAAGTTATGACTGCATGCATCTTTTCTCAACAATGGTTAAATTGCTTTGACAGGGTAGGTACAGAAACCTATTTCCTAAGGAAAAGAATAGGAAAGCAAAATCTTTAACAAAGAGCCATGCTATTTAAAGTGGAAATCAGGGAGTGAATTTACTCACAAAACGCATTGGAAATGAAAAATAAAACTTTCACTTCTAAAGGCTGTGAATGCTGGAGCAATTAGAATGAACAGTTTAGGTTTTGGTTAGGTAAGACCATCAGGTAACATGGAACAAACTAGGTGAAATGGAGGTGAGGTGTAGTTCATTCACCAGCCAACTGAATACTCAGTGCAGTATCAAAATGATCATTGCTTCAGTCAATAGAAAAGCTGGGACTGTTCTGCTCAGAGCAGAAAAGGTTAAAGAGAGATTTGACAGAATATTACAAACTTTCAGTTTTGAACACAAGTAGATAAGAAGAAATTGTTTTCATTGGAAAGAGGGCTGGTGATTGGAGGACACTGTGTCATAGAGTTATACAGCATGGAAACAAACCCTTCGGTTCAACTCATCCATGCAGACCAAATATCCTAAACTGAACTAGTCCCATTTTTATTTCTGTATTCATTCACGGGAGGACGGCGTCACTGGCCAGACCAGCATTTATTGCCCATCCTTGATTGCCAACAGGGCAGTTAAGAATCAACCACGTTGCTGTAGGTCTGGAGTCACATTTAAGCCAGACCAGGTAAGGATGGCAGTTTCCTTCCCTAAAGGACATTAGTAAACCAGGTGGGTTTTTTCCTGACAATTGGCAATGGATTCAAGGTCATCATTACACTCTCAATTCCAGATTTTTATTGAATTCCACCACTGCCCAGAATGTTATCTGGGTCTCTGGATTAACAGTCCAGTGATAATATCACTAATCCTTTGCTGCCCCAGCATTTGGCCCATATCCTTCCAAATCCTTCCCATTTGTGTACCCATCCAGATGCCTTTTAAATGTTGTAATTGTACCGGCCTTCACCACTTCCTCTGGCAGGTCATTCCATACACGTGCCACCCTCTGGGTGAAAAAGTTGCCTTTTAGGCCCCTTTTAAATCTTTCCCCTCTCACTTTAAACTTATGCCCTCTAGTTGTGAACTCCCCTACCCTGGAAAGAAGACCTTGGCTGTTCACCCTATCCATGCCCCGCATGATTTTATAAACCTCTATAAAAGGTCACCCCTCAGCCTCCAACACTCCAGGGAAAAAAGCCCCAGCCTGTTCAGCCTCTCACTATAGTTCAAACTCACCAATCCCAGCAACATCTTTCTAAGTCTTTTCTGAACCCTTTCAAGTTTAACATCATCTTTTCTGAAGGCAGGGAGACCAGAATTGAATGCAGTATTCCAAAAGTGGCCTAACCAGTGTCCCATATAGCTGCAACATGATATGAATACTGCCCTAAAAGGTGATGGAATCAGATTCAACTTTTATTTCCGAAGGCAACTGGATACATATGAAGGTAAAAGGGCAAAGTTGCTACGGTCCCAGAGAGCTGCTCTCTCTTTACAGAGAGAGAGAGAGAGAGAGACAACTGGTGGTGGTTTAATCTGAGTCACCACGCCTCAGATGATGGGAGAGGTTGAGAAGGAGAGTCCTTCATGGCAATTTCAGCCAATGCAGGAACTGAACCCGTGCTGGACAAATTGCATCTCTCTGCTTCGCAAACCAGCCGTTCAGCCAATTGAACAAACCAACACCCCCCCACCACACCCCCCACCCCCCTGCAAAATACCAGAAAAGAGAAAAAGACATCACCAAAGCTATGCAGAATGAGCAGCAGCGTGTATAAGCCTTTCAAAAACCTCACACAGGCACATGAATGACTTTGTTCTGCCCTCTATGATTCCACAACCTCTTTAATGCAACCTTGGTTACTGAATTAAGAAAAAGAAAGACTATAATTAAAAATTGTGCTTGTCTAACAAACTCTTAAAGTGCCTCGGAGAAGCTGTTTGGAAGATCTTCCGCTTATTAATTTTTGGGTGGATGGTATAATTTTGAACTCATCAGGAGCTCAACAAGAATAATACCAGAGACTCACTGTGCTGAAGGCCAGAGTGGAATTGATCTGTTGGCTGAATGTCCTTTTGCTCTCACTTGTCAAACGGTTACAGTAACATCAATTAGGTATCAGATAACATTGCCTAAGTGACTAAGTCAGTTTATTAGAAATTGCAATATTGAGAGTTTGGACTTCCACGAGACATTTGTCAAAAAGGTCACTTAATAGACTTGTTAAAATTAGAACCCGTACAATGAAAAGGGATTATGACAGTACCTGAGATTAAAGATATCAGTTATCCAGAGAGATTGGAGAATTTGGGCTTGTTCTCCTTATTAGAAAGGGAGGTTTGAGATTGTGTACAGTTTTGATAGAGCAAAGAGGCAAAACAGTTTCCACTAGAAGTTTCCTAACTAGAGGATACAGTTTTTAAGATGATAGGCAAAAGACAGAGGTTTTTTTTAATCTTCTTTCATGAATTGGAATGCACTGCTTGAATTGGTGGTGGAAACAAGTTCAGATGGTCGCTTTCTGAGAGGGAATCAGATAACTATTTGAAGGGAAAATAGTAAAGTGATTGATGGGGAAGAAACAGGAAAACGGGACCAGATCCACCAAAGACCCAGCAGAAGCGTGATTGGTTTAATGGCCTCCTCCTGTTCTGCATCATTTTAGGATCTTACCAATAGTCATTGACACATTGCTTTAGAGATGCTACTTACTGTGATGTTATATTGATAATGTTTTTGAGTCATGTTGTTAATTCTGTTCCTTTCCTGAAGAATCTGGAGATATCCTTTTAAAATATGACCTATTGAGTAACACATTGAGGAGGGATTAGAAGTTCGCCTTGGATTGTTCCACAATGGTTACCCAGCCCTGATCAGGCATGCTACTTCAAGATCACCCTTCAATGCTGCAATGTGAAACTTGTCTCTTTACCTTGGCTTCTCATTGATTGAGGGATGTGACAGGATTGTTTCAGGATGTGTTCAGGAGGAGCACTGACTCACCTCCTGAGAATATTTCTAAAACCAAAAAAAAGAAAGAAAGAGTGCTACCTCACTGGGTTTGTCCATGTGTTTTGAGGATAGGTGGGTTTTACTCTCAAGGTATTACAGGCTGTGACAAAAAACAGAAGTTGCTGGAAAAGCTCAGCAGGTCTGGCAGCATTTGTGAAGAAAACAAATCAGAGTTAAAGGTTCGGGTCCGGTGACCCTTCTTCAGAACTGACTATTATAGGCTGTGTTTCTCTTGAAGGTAGCACAGGAGCCATTAAAATGGTGGATTATGTGCTTAGGTGAACTTCCGTGTCACGTGGTATTTGTACGCTGAAGCAAGTGGCAGCCTGTGGAGCACAGTGAAGATGGGAGGATATGGCAAGATAAGTGCTTCTCTAGAAAAGGGAATGGCTCAATAAATCAGGAGTGGCTAAGGGCATGAATCCACCAATGTTGAGACTTATCATTAAAATCGTATGGTACTATTTCAGAGCTGAAATTGCAAATGGGTCAGCAAAGGAGGAGGCCATTCACCTTGGATCTCTGAAAAAAGCCCCGAACTATTTAATCTCCACACCCATCCCTCATTGCCCTGAAAAGTGGCCTTTCCAATTATACATCCAGTTCCCTTTTGAAAGTTAACATTAAATCCGACTCTACCAACCTTTAAGGCAGCACATTCCAGATCATAACAATTCGCTGCTTAAAAGGAAATCGTCTCATCTATCATGTGATTCTTTTTCTGATTAGATTATACCCGTGTTCCCTGGTTACTGATCCTCCTGCCAGTGGAAATAAGTCCTGCTATTTATTTTATGAAAGCACTACACAATTTTCTAAACCTCTATTAAATCTCTCCTTAACCTTTCTTGCTCAAAGGACAACAATCTCAGCTTAGAGTTGTACAGCACAGAAACAGACACTTCCATCCAACTCGTCCATGCTACTTCTGGAATTTTTGTGTATCTGAAGCTCCTCATCCTTGACACAATTCTAGAAAATATATATTCATAGATAAAGAATCCCTGGGAACTTTATTTTGTTCCACTTCTCTCAATATTTTTCCAACACTTAACTAAAAACCCAAGTGTAGTGTTGTCAATCTGTAATTGTCTGATTGGATGTGCTTTACCTAATGGTGTGGTAATAGTTTCATGCTTAGATGGAACAAACATTAGAATGAAGTTACAATGACATAGCCCCATTACTCCAACATCTCCTCCAGCTGTACCTTCTGTACTCCTCCTGTGATATAGATCAGACTCTATACTATAGGAAAGAAAACAACTCTTTGGAAGGTCTATTTTCAACTGCACTCGACAAAACATTGCATTTGTTTGGAGCCTCAAATGTAGTAAAATCTCCCAAGGTGTGTCGAGGGGATGTTATCAAACATAATGTGACACCAAACTATATGTGTAGTGGGGATAGGTGAGCAAGTACTTAACCAGAGAGATGTATTTTAATGAGTATTTAAGTGGAAGCAGCAGATATAATGGGACAGCATGATTAAGAGGAAGTATTTCCATAACTGGAGGCAACCAGTGTCATTTGTTCCCAACCTGAAGAGTTGAAAACTGGCACTCACCTGCCCACTGTTGGCTAAATCATCAACAGAGAGAGATGATTCCAACCTCAAGGATAATCCAAAGTCACAGAGACAACATGTCAGGTCATTTTTCACCAGAATGTTGGAGCTTTTTAGGTCCCTGTGAGCAATGGGCATCTTTGGCCTGCCACAAGGCGTGTATTCACTATGTAAGTGTGCAATTCCTCTGGCCAGCGATCCTCCCAGTAGGCACAGGTCCTCCCAGTTCACAACGTGCCTCATAAGGTAGTCTTGCAGGTTGCCTTGGGGGTGGTAGGCCGTGATCAGCCAATACTGCTTGCCCATTTCAGTCTCCCGCTCTTCCGCTGTCAGAAACTGCAGCACATTTTCATGTTTCAGGTTGACATCGGAGAAAATCTCCTTCTCATTCTTCCAGGACATGTACTCGTCAAAGTGGAATATCTTTGCTGCCACAGTCTCGAACTGCTCCGAGGTGCTCTGTCTCAGCTTGGCCTTGTAGACCTCAGCAAAGCGCCCCTTGCCCACCACAGCGTCAAGCTCCAGGGGCAGCAGCTCGGTGTTGTGGTTGATGTTGTTGGCGCAGGTGGAGCTGATGTCAGACTGGTCATCGTCAAGGTGCATGGCACTGCCCTCACTACGGTCATTGGGAGGTCGACGCCGGCGACCTGGCTTCCTGACCTTCTGTTCCTTCGCCCACTCTTTGTTCAGCTTCCTCCGCCTCTGGACCCGGTACCAATAGTAAGCAAGGATCACCACGGCAGCAAGACCGAGCAATGGGAGAAGAGTGACAAGGAGAACCTCCAATATCACCTGCCAGTCACTCAACATAATACCTAAAGGAGGGAGACAATATCAGAGCTGTATCAAAGTACATCAACATACACCAGTCAGATAGAACTAACAAGCTAAATACCTCGGCTACAGGAACTGTGGGTTTAAAAATCACTCAGTTCTTCTTAAACCCATCTTTAAAAGCACAACCAAGAAATAAAACAAATACAACGTATCCATCCTTCATTCATCTATGCCGCCTAATCTGAGTAGCATCAGCACATGTCATGGTAAGGCTCAGCAGATTGTTGGAGCTTTTCGAGTTGCTGTGTGCATTAGGGATTTCTAGCCCTATTGTACATGCTGAATACTCCCAGGACCTCCCACAGGAAGTGGTAGATGCAGATACAGTTACAGCATTTAAAAGACATTTGGCTAGGTCCAGAATAGGAAACGTTTAGAGGGGTATGGGCCCAATACAGGTAAGTGGGACTAGTTTAGTTTGGGAAACTTGGTCAGCATGGACAAGTTGGACCAAAGGGTCTGTTTCCGTGCTGCACGATTCTGTCTTACAATGGTACAGGCAAAGAGATTCATTTCTTTTTTAGGTTGACTTTGATTACCCACAGACTGGACAGGTGCTCCTACTCTATCTTCTTTTTCAAATATTTGACTAATTTTAAAAGGAAGTGTTAACTGTATCCACAGTTTTTAGCTGGTGTCTGAAACTTTTCATTCGTATGGACTCCTCTCTTACATGCATTTCTTTGGACCACTGTCCATTCTCAGCTGTGGCTCAGTGGTGGAATTCTAGCCTCAGAAACAGTTAGTTATGGGTTCAAATTACACCTTGGAGACATCAGCACATAATCCAGGCTGATATCCTAGTGCAGTACTTAGGGAGAGCTGTATTGCCACAGGTTTGCTCCTTTGGATGAGGTGATAAAATGAGTCTGTGTCTGTCCCCTTGGGTGATCCTCTGGCATGAATTTGAAAAAGAAGAGAGTTTTCCCCATCAATCAATGGGGCAGCTCGGTGGTTAGCACTGCTGCCTCATAGTGCCAGGGACCCGGGTTCGATTTGAGCCTTAGGTGACTGTCTGAGTGAAGTTTGCACATTTTCCCTGTGTCTGCGTGGGTTTCCTCCCGGTGCTCAGGTTTCCTCCCACAGTCCAAAGATGTGCAGATTAGGGGGATTTGCCATGCTACATTGCCCATAGTGTTAAGGGATGTGTGGGATAGATGGGTTAGACATAGGGGTAGGGTTTAGGACGCTCTTCGGAGTGTTGGTGTGTACTCAATGGGCTGAATGGCCTGCTTCCACACTGTAGGTATTCTTTGAACTAAAAATCATTAAAACACATAATATCCAGTCATGTATTTGACTGCTGTCTGCAGTACCTTTATGTATCCAATTGATTGCCATGTTACAACAGAGATTACATTTCAAAAATGCTCCACGGTCTGTGAGAGCTTTGGGGACATCTATAAGGCATGAAATGAAGGAAAGATCTTTATTTAACAGTATGCAAACAGAAGTCACCGCAATTTAATCAAGAAACTCTCGTAGTTCCGTGCGCTTTCCCTCCCGCACATCAAAGCCGCTCATAATTGGAACCAAATCTCACCTCATACAATATTAACTGTGACCATCTTCAGAGGGATTAAAAAGGAAGCACATACATAAAACATGGAGATGTGATCCGGAAGGGAGTTTCATCATCACAAACACAGGGTTCTGCTGCAGGACTGTGAGACTCATCTGATGAAAGCTGAGGTGCTTGAATGGAGCTCATCACAATTTGCAGATACTTATGGTAAAATTTGTAGAAGGAGGCAGTCACTGAGCATACCTTTAACTCACATCCTTATTGGAACGGAATTCTCACTTCCCCCAATGCCTAAAATTATTTCTCCCTTTCCACTAAATTCACAATTTGCCAGTGAGCCATTAAATTTGTTCTGTTAAAGTTTGGCATTGAAGCTTTAGGGATTAACATGGATGAATACTGACAACAGGTTTACCACTACTGTGGAAAATAACTCTGAGTTAGTAATTGCTGGCAAAGGTCCCACACTGTGCTGCATACAGGAATCAGGCCTAATTTGTTATATCTTTCGGATTAGGTGGTGTTCAACTCACCTACTGTGAGCCAAGCATCTCATAACACCACCCCCCTCCAAAAATAAAAAAAACAGGGAGACTTAAAACATGACAATTGATTAAGCCCCAGGATAAGATTGAAAACTCTCCTTTGCACATATTGCTCGCGGTCTCATCACAAGACCTCCCATTTCCAACTACGCCGTATATTCAAATAGTATTTCTAGCTCCAATTTCTCTAACATATTTATAATTAATACACAAACCTATTCAAAAGTAAATGGAGTAAAATGCACAATATTTCCTGGGTTCTTTACAGCGATATCCAGGAGATTAATTTTTAATTCATGGAGACTATGGGGCAGTCTTGTAGTTTTGACTACATTGAACAGGGAATAAACTTCTTGAAAAAAAAATGAAACATATCTCAACAACTAATCCACAATATGAAGGACAGGATTGGAATAGGCATCCAGATTTCTAATTTCTTTTTCAGGTCATGTTCAAACTGCAAGCCCTTAGAATGAAAGCATACAAAAAAAAAGACAGCTTGCAATTATCCAGCTACTTTAATTTAGTGAAACATCACAAGACTTCGAAAAAGTATAATTAGACAAAATTTGACGTCAAGTCAATGAAGGCATGACAGGTGACCAAAAGCTTGGCTAAAGAGATAGGTCCTGAGGACAATTTCGAGGACGAGAGTAGGGTGATGAGTTAGAGAAGTTTAGGAAGAGGATTTCAGAGCTCAGGGTCAGGACATCTGAAGGCACAGCCACTATTTTGGAGAAAACAATAGGGGATGTGGAAGAGGCCAGAATTAGCAGAATGCAGAGTAACTGAAAAGTTGAAAAGCCAGAGGTTGTACAGAGATAGAAACTCCAAAAAGGAATATGAACACAAAAATAAGCATTTTATAATGGAGGTGCCAGGGGTGAGGGGGTGGGGTGGGGTGGGTAGTGGGGGTTAGGGACCAATGTAGGTCAGCCAGTATTTGGGTGATGGGTGAATTAGATATGGTGCGAATCAGGATTTAGGCAGCAGAGTTTTGAAAAGGTATCATATTGAATGGCAATGTTTGGGGAGCTGCTGGGCATGTAAGTTTTGGATCAGCTTAACCTTGAGGGTTAGGAATGGCATTCAAGCACCAAGTATCCAATCCTGACTGGATTCAGTGACCTGCTGAAGGAATGAACGTGGTTTAGCAACAAACCATTGATCCATTCAAACCAAGATCCACCAGTGAAATTCCTTGTTGAACTTGGCAAATCACATTAGTTCCTTCACGTGCAAAACAGTAGCACAGCAATCTGCCACAATTTTAAACAGACTTTGTAAGGCTTTGTTTTTTTCTGTCCTTCTGAATGCAGAAGGTAGTGACGGAAAACTGAGGACAGGCATCATGACACTTCTCTCCCAGAGGTTTGAAAAGGATATATTTTGTGTGCAATGCTGCTTGATGGAGAAAGCTCTTGCGGGCCAGTGCTCACTGAAAGAACTAAAGGATCGACAGAGTTTTGGTAGCACCTTCGGTAGGATGGCACAGTGGTTAGCAATGCTGCGTCACAGTGCTAGGATTTGACTATGGTGACTGTCTGGGTGGAGTGTGCACATTCTCCCCGTGTCTGCGTGGGTTCCCTCTGGTGCTTGGGTTTCCTCTCACAGTCCAAGGATGTGCAGGTTAGGTGGATTGGCTGTGAAAAATTGCCCCGTACTGTACAGCCTAGGTGCATTAACTGTACTAAGATGTGGAGTTGTGCAGATAGGGTGGGATGCTCTGAGGTTTGGTGCAGACTCAATGGGTCAAATAGCACTGTAGGAATTCTATGATTCAAAAATTTCTGGATGTTCTTAAACACCATACAATCAAAGAAGTACTTTTTGAAGTGTAGTCACAGCACAACTGTCAAACACAAGGCTGTTAACTTATTCATTGTAAGATCTCACAAACAGCGTGATAACAAAGAGATAGCTTGTTTCCTCGTAATGTTGGTTGTTGAATAAATATTGGCTAAGAGACCAGGGGCACCTCTTTTGGTCTTTTTCAAAATACTGTCAAGGTTTGTCTTATATCCACTTGAGAGTCAAATCAGGCCTAATTTCATATCTGAAGAAATGGCATCTCAAATACTCAGCCTCAGCAAGACACTAGAATGATAGCCGACAACATGTGCTCTGGTCTCTAGGAGTGGGCTTAAACCCACAACCTTTTGACTCAGAGGTGACAGCAATGCCAGTGAGCCACAAGAAGGCTGTGCAACTCTCTGTCTGAGAGTTGGCCTGAAATAACCTCGGAACTCAACTGAGCCTGTCCATTAACGCTTCAATGTTTGACTACAATAGACACATAGCATAAAATTGTATATCAGCAGTTGTATAAATAGTGTTCAGCTCTCTCAAAAATTGCAGATTTATTGCCAGAAGGCTTTGTTTCAGAAGGCTTAATCGACTGTCATTCTGCTCTGTGCTTTAAAAAGATTCTTGGTTTTATCACTGGGTCCTGTTGACAGCATACATTTTTAGCCAGCTCCTGACTGTCATTTTATCATTCGCTCCACTCAATTTTGAGAAGAGGGAGAATGTATCTTGTAAATACATTCCTGCACTGAGCTGAGAAATTCATACAGAGCAGTTTGGAGTTTCAAGGATCATTAATTGTTTCTGTCAGACATTCAGAAAGTCTGTAAAAAAAAATTACAGTTGTTTCACGGGGAAACCAGTGAGAGTGTCCCAACTTGACAGGCCCCAGGAGAGAGTGAGGGAAGAAGGGGAAAGAGGGAGATATGGGGGGGGGGGGGGAAGGGGGGGAGGGAAGAAGGGGGGGGGGAAAGGAGGGGGGCAAGGAGAGGGGTGGGGGGGGGTGGAAGGAGAGGGAAAAAAAGAGTGGGGCGAAGGGAGGGGAGGGCAGGAAGGAGAGAGATGGAAAGGGAAACAGGTGGGAGCAGGGGTGAGGTGCAAAGAAGATGGGGTAAGATGGGTGAGAGGAGAAGAGGAAATGGGAAGAAGTGATAATAAGTGGGGTGGGGTGGGGGGAGAAGATGTTATGGTATAGGAAGAGAAAAGGAATAAGGAAGAAAGACACCGAGAAAATGAGGTAATGATAGAGAGAAAAACAGAAAGAGAGTGGGTGCTGAATTTTTTTTAAAAAACTATTATATAATAACAATAAAATCAAACTATTGAAAATCAGTCATTTTTTGAGGTGGGCCTGCAATGCTTCATCTCCAGCCGTTTAAAAGCTGTGAACAGTGGTCAGTGAACGCAGCCGCGAATGGCTAGGCTACCGTGAAGGAAAAAAAGATTTTGAATTAGACTTGGTCAGGTCAGACTTGGGAACTGTAGTCAACAAATCAGGATTGTCCTCGGATGTTTATGTAAAACATCTCAAGAAAGAACCAAATTTTGAGCAGTTCAACTCGGACGTCAGTCAGTTTGCAATAAATGAGTGCAAGCGGTATCTGCTTGTAAACATGTCTTGGGGAGTACAGGCTTTGATGTGCTAGTAAATTTAAACACAGACAGGAAACCACATGTCTGAGATCAGACACACAATTCACTTCCAACCAGCGATACAGTACATGACGCAGAGGCAGACAGACAATCTGTTTTCAGTTAATACAGAGAGAGAAAGGACAGCTGGATTCTTCAACTACTGTTTAAATAGTGACTTCAATATTATTTTTTGAAGCTGTTACAAAGGAATCCAGCTCTTAATGAGTTAAGTTTACACAAGGCAGGCTCCTCTGCACTGGTCGTTTACACTTAACAGAAGGACTTCAGAAAGATTCAAACATCAAAGTGTCTTCATATGAGCCATGCACTTTTGTAATCTCCATTGTCTGATTTGTCCTGCTGCTCCTTCAGCAACCATTCACGGATGAGAAGTTTCCTTCTGTAAAATATTGGGAAGGCTAAACCTGTTATCTTTGCTCCCAGCCATGAGCTTTGTTCTTTAGTCATCAACTCTAACCCTCTGCATAGCAAAGCTCAGTGCTGAGCCATGCTATTGGTAACCATGGTGTCTCATTTGAACTGGAGCTGTGCTTCCAATTCCCTGTCTTCCTAGTGAGGCAGAGATAGTAAGAACTGCAGATGCTGGAGAATCCGAGACAACAAGGTGCAGAGCTGGATGAACACAGCAGGCCAAGCAGCAGTGCTCCTATGATGCTGCTTGGCCTTCCTAGTGAGGCAGCCTGCTTCCATCTCTAACATTGCCTATCTCTGTCTCAGCTTAACCATCACTGGTCATTCATACTGTTATTGCCTTGAGACTAGACTATTAAAATCTCCTCTTATCCAGCCTCCCATTTTGGAAATTAGAGTCCATCCAAAACTTTTCTGCCTGGACTCTAACTTATGTAGATCCACTCATCCTGCTTGAGCTTGCAGACTCCTAATCTGGAAACACCTCAAATTTAAAATGTCTATCCTCTCATTTTCAAATTCTTCAACAGCTGCACCCTTCATCATTTGTTATCTCCTCCAGCCCTACAACCATTTTAGATTTCAGAGCTTCTTCAATTCCTTGCCTCTTGCATATCCCTGATTTTCTTCACCTTACATTGATGACTGTGCCTTCAACCACCTAGACTCTGGAGTAGCCTTCCAGAACCTCTGTCTCTTTGTCTCTCTCTTCCATTTAAGATGCTTCTGAAAACCTGTCTCATACTAAACTTTTGATCACATTTTTGATCATTGCCTTCCATAACTCAAAGCCAAATGGTGTTTGAAAACTTGGTCCAGAAAACTATTGCGGGGTATTATGTTAGAAGATGATGTATTAATGCAGATTGTTTTTGTTAGTAAGTTACTCCAGTTTGAAACACTTTTGCTCCAACATTTCCTTTCAAATGAAAAGTCATTGATTGGAGAGAAAGTTCCCAGCAACGAGAATTCCCAGACTGGTTTTAGATGAGCCACATACCAAATAAGATTAGCTGAATTAATCACCAAATGTATGAAAAGTTCAGTAACTTGGACGACTGAATTAAGAGCAAGCAGAATCATACTCAAATCATTAACATTACAAACACTCAAAAAATTCAAAAAACAGATAGGTTTAAAAGTAGTGAAATAATTGGTTTGACTTCTTATATCTAATTCTAATTATACACCTTTTCTGAATCCGGATATTATAATTGGGTGCTCATCACTGTGAATTCGTCTTCAAAAGACAATAAAACATTACAATAAAATTAATTAAACACCTCTAAGCTGCAATAAATCAGAAGGAGAATAAGAGGACAATATGCGCTATGAAACTTAGCAATATCTCAGTGCGCACCAGGACTGCTCAATATCTGTAATTAGGGAATCTTGGATTTTTAGAACTCTTCATGCTCCACAAGTCATTTTTGAAGTTGTCACAGTATCTTTACACTCCTCCTGTGCAGCGTAACGTGATAGAGTGGAAGGTTTCTCAGATTAGTTCACTCGACTGATTCCTGGGATGAAAAAGTCACCTTGTGAGGAAATGTTGAGCAGGTTGGGCCTATTCTAGTTTAGACGAATGAGAGGAGATGTTATTGAAACATACAGGAATCCAAGGAGACTTGACAGGGTGGATGCTGAGGAAATCTAGAATTACGGACACAGTTTAATAATTAGGGGTCTCCCATTTATGAATTTGATAAGGCTTTTTTCTCCTCTGTTCAAGAGGTTATTACGCTGTGGACATCTGTTGCCTAGACAACAGTGGAGGCTGTGTCAATCAACTTATTCAAGGCTGAGTTCACTAGACTGTTGATCGACAAGGGATGAAGGTCGGGGGAGGGGAAAAAATAGTGTAGAGGCCACAATCAGATCAGCCAATGGTCTTATCCAAAGGTAGAGCAGACTTGAAAACCATGTGACTTCTCCTGCTCTTTGGTTCTTTCTCAGCTCTGATTAAAAGGTCAGATGGGCTAAAAGTATGCGCACACACACAGATTTGTCATAATGAGGAACTAGTTTCAGCTTCAACTTCAACTTACCAACATCATCAGTAAATATCAGATTTTTGTTGCATTCTTCTTTAATTGAACATGAGCAGATGTAGAACACAGAGCCAGGAACCTTCTTTTCTTTCATCTTGCATTCCGTATTATTGTAATCGTCTAGCAGGTGTCCATACAGAGGAATGGCTGGATTATGGCACAGTGTTTCAATAGTTACATTAGCATCTTGCTGTCTCCTAAAGTTGAAGATAAAGCAGGGGTGCTTAAAATGAAAAAAATAACGTGTAAAAGTAGAAAAGGAGGCTTTGATAATTGAGAATGAAGCGTACCAGAAGAGGCAAAAGACACAATACAACCCCTAATCCAGGTCTCACATATCAAAAGGAAATAAAACCCCATGAGCTCCACAGACCTCTACTTTTTTCTCCTTGCATGTGTGAAATGATAAACGGATTTGGTTTGTAGACCCAGAGAAAACATTTTCTCTGTTGAAAGTATTGAAAACTAAGGGGCACAATCTTAAATTTAGAATTATACATTAACAAGAGGAAAAGCTAGAAGTGTTTTGTGATGCAATGAAAGGATAATGGAAAACTAGAACTCTTCTCCTTAAAAGCCTGGGGAAGCTCGTGACCAATTGAATTTTTCTATTTCAAAAACAATACATTTTTCTTTGGTAAGGGTATCAAGTGATATGGAACAATAGGTGGGGCAAAAAGGTAGAGATCTGTGAGAGAATTCCACTTGACCGTTATATTTCTTGTGTGTAAAAGGTGTATCCTGATCTTACTCTCAATTTGATGTCTCTAATATTAAGATTGTGCTTCCTGGTTCCGGGCTTCCCATTAGGAAATGACCTCTTTGCATCTACCTTGCCACATCCTGTTATGATTTTAAAATTCTCAGCCACATGTTCCTTTAACCTTGTGAATGCAAAGGAAAATAAACTCTTACGGCAAAACTGAAACCATCAATTTAACGCAACTGTAGATTAATGAACCACCAGCATACTGTACAATGATGGTGTCTAATGATGTAATGACAATGTCAGTCTCACAGGATGATGTAGAGAGAACAGGAATGGAGAGGAAGTTGTATTAGAATGTACATAAATGAGTTATTTTAGGAAGTACCATGGACCAAGAAGCAGTACTTTAGGAAACTAAATAGTAGTAAACACCAATCATGCAACAAAACGCCCTACAGGGCTTGTGAATCACATGGCAAAATCTCTTTACTTTGTGTATATTATCAGCCTTTATCCTCTGTATAACTGGGGTTACTTAATGAGTAAATTAACAATAATTAATAAGAAATTAACGGGCCTTCAATTCTGGTCTGTCTTACATCTTGCCTCAGCCTAAACATAGTACATTGGATGAGTTGGAGTGGTGAATTAATACTCACTACCACAAACTAACAATGATCCCAACTGAAAAGAAAGAACTTCAATTTGTATAATACCTTTAATAACCTTAGGACATTCCAAATGATTTTAAAATAAATTAAGCTGGAAAGATGGCAGTCACTTTGTACGCAGTAAACTCCGATTGATAACAATGAGGTAACTGACTCAACTATCTACTTAAGGTTCTGATTGACCAGTAAATAATAGCCAGGATGCTGGGAAGATGCCCTTGTTTTTTGTCAAATATTACTGAAATCTTCTATGCTCCTCTGAACATGAGCATATATTAAAAAAATGTTTGCGATGGAACTACCAATGCACCGAAATCAAAATAAGTTGGGAAGAGAAGGGAGTCCTTACCAGATAGAGACACACACTTCTTCCTCGTTCTCACAGATGGAGTTAATGCTGCAGTTAACAGTGCAGACACCACTGTTGGTGCAATTGGTGGGCTCGATATCACAGAACCGGCAAAGATTATTTGGCCCCCATTGGTTCGGAATTATGAATCGTTTTACTGGTATCAGAAAGAAAAGAAGACAAGGTTTTAGTGTTTTTACAAATCAAAATGCATGGACTTACATTCTCAACGAAGAACAAAAATACACAACTTTTGCAAAAGCAAACTTTGCAACTGTTAAGCTTGACTCCTGTATCTGGCAAGGGATCAAAAAACAGCAAGATCACAAATATGATGACATGTCAGAAGTATTTCATGCGCACTGTGTTTTGGGACGTGCTAAGGGTTTTTCAATGCCAGTCAGTGTTTCTATGATTTCGAAACATATTTGTGATCAGAAATTCAGCCAAAGAAAAGGATGGATGGAATGAATATATTCTATTGGTTTTAAATTTATTTTCCTCTTCTCAGTGTTTCCCACCCCTCACTCCCCTCCCCGACCCATCCTTCCTGGAATCGGCCTTTTACAAGTATTTAGATACATCTGGTTATTATCCATCCCTAAATGGCAACTATTCTCCTGTACAGGCATCACAGTAACCTAACAACCCTCGCTCTCCACTTCATTCTGTTCTCACACAAAATCCATACCCACTTGTGTTATCCAGATAATGGTCAGGAAATGGTTACTGCCTGATCATTTTCACATTTCTTCAGCTCAGAAATGATCAGAATGATTCTTAGTATCTCTTGAGATCTCGCAGTTAACGATTAGGAAGCTCGTTCTACTTAAAGAATTCTGTATGAAGGTCAGTCCCTCAGTTATCTTTAACCTCCATTCCTCCACCACCACGCTACTCTATATTTTATTTTCCGGACGCTATGCAGTAACTCAGCAAAGTTTCAATGACTGCACTCAGAAAACTCATATCCTAGAAGATCAAGGGTGGAAGATGCATTGGAATATCACCATTATCATGAACACCTTCACGGGCAACATCATTCTAACTTGGAAACGTGTCAATTGTTCATCGCGGTTATGTTAAAATCTTGGAGCTTCCTTCCTGACAGCATCACCATGGATTACAACCATTCAACAGGGCAGCTCATCACCAACTTCTGAAGAGGAACTAATGATGACCAATAAATACTGCATTTATCAGCAATGCCAAAATCCAGAGAATGAATGTTTGAAAAAGTTCAGCAATCAAACTGGAACCTTTCCAACATGTATGTCTCAGTATTGTGCAGTACATCAACTGTCTCAGTAACTGGTGAATTGTGAAGGATTTTTTTTCTACCTTGGGATTTACGGTTCACAAATAACAGTGTTGCAGACTTCCCTTGGAGTATTAATTTCTTTAAAAAAAATTATACTTCACCTACAGACCAGACTGTTATTTGAGAGTTTAGGTGCTATGATCTACTGCCTACAACAGAAATCAGTTTGTGGCTGTCAGGTGTTCCCTAGATTGCCTTGAAGTCCAACCAAAAATTCCAACTCCTCAGACAGAAAAAAAGTAATTGCATTTAGAACATGTTTATTATTTCATAGAGTCACAGAGCTATACAGCATGGAAACAGACCCTTTGATCCAACACATCCATGCCGACCACATATCCTAAATTAATCTAGTCCCATTTAGCCCATATCCCTCTAAACACTCCCTACTCATATATCCATCCAGATTCCTTTTAAATGTTCAAATAACAGCCTCCACCATCTCCTCTGGCAGCATGTTACATACATGCACCGCCCTCTATGTGAAAAAGTTGCCCTTTAATTCCTTTTAAATCTTTCCACGCTCACCTTAAACCTATGCTGTCTAGTTTTGGACTCCCTTACCCTGAGGAAAACACCTTGACTATTCACCCTATCCATGCCCCTCATGATTTTATAAATGTCTATAAGGTCACCCCGTTGCCTCTGACTCTCCAGGGAAAATATTCAGCCTCTCCCTATAGCTCAAACCCTCCAACCCTGGCAACATGCTTGTAAATCTTTTCTGAACCCTTTCAAGTTTCACAACCTCTTTCCCATAGCAAGGAGACCAGAACTGAACGCAGTATTCCAAAAGTGGTCTAACCAATGTCCTGTACTGCCGCAACATGACCTCCCAACTCCTACAATGTCCTTAGATCATATACAGTGTTTCAAAAGCCAATTAGCACATACCACGTTCCTCTAAATAAATGATCCGAATGAGTACCCTTGGCTATAAATCCCTCAGGTTATATGTGTCCGAGGTGGCCTTTCATTATTAGGCCTCAGGCCCAGTGAGTGGATAAGCTCAAACATTGAAAACATTTCGGCGCTCTCAGGTAATTGAGGAAGGCGAGGAGGATGATAAGTGAGCTGGAGGGCTAAAGAGCAACACTCCTGCTACTCTAAAAAAAAGTCTACATTCAAGTCAATATATTTCAAACACAACTAAATGGCAGCGCATTGCTATTGAGATTTGTTTTAGGACCACCTGCATATGGAATTTGTTTTCTCAAATGCAGTCAGAGCTGAATGTCTCCAAGGTAAACTAACATTACTGTAGTATTCTTTTACATCACCTGTAAAGAACCCTTCACTTGTTTAAGGCGTGGAAACTGCATACAATTTTCTTTTTTGTCTGTACTAATATAACTAGCCATTCAGCCCTGGCTGGATGACATTTTGCTTCCTGGCCTCAGGGAGGTCAGCTTAGGCTACCTTTCAATACCTGAAATATGGTTGTGGTGCCATCAATGCCATCAATCCAGGCCACCATGCCCATATTAGCACAGTATTCACAATGATGTTATACGATATACATGATATCAAGTGTTGACCGCTATTCAAATCACCTCAACCCAGCAGCAATTTTGAGTGGGTAGTCACTGCTCTACCTAAAGTTTTTGGGGTAACATTTATAACTAAAGGCCAATGACTGAATTCCATACTTCCACAATTGTGGGGATTGCGAAACAGAGATACAATTTTATCCAGCACACTTTAAAAATAGAATCAGACGCGGTCTTAGAAGGATTAGTTAAACACATTTCTGCCAATCTGCACAACCACATGAACTGTACCAATGCATTAGGCAGGACACGACCTGTCACTGGGACTGAAGTTCAACTAGCCATTAATATTTATTGCACATTGCTAATGAAGACAATACAACCTGGTTTCTAGATCTGTTTACAAGTAAAGTTTTCCCAAAAGCAAAACAGAGCGAGAGTGGATTAAAATGCATGGCACATTCCACCTTATCAACAACGACCAAATATTTAATGGAAGGAATGTGACAAAATCCAATTTAAAATTTTACATCACACAGACACACATACCTTTACTGGAAACTTACAGACACAATGTGAAGCAATATCTCTGTAAAAATCATTAATTTGCCTTAAAAGTGAAAGTGCACCAGCATGATTCATTCAATAATCTGAGCGACACACTGGTGCAAGAACTCAAGAACAGTTGACTTAGCTCTCATGCATGGTGCACCAGTAATGGGCTTTGGTTACTACTGAGCAGCCCTTTTGATGACCTTGAAAAAGTATTTGGATTTATAATTAATTTTGGTAAAGTATAACTAAAATATAGCTGAAAAGAAAGCCTGACGACCTGTTCCCAGGACACTTGAGTAAAGCTGACAAGGTTATATAGCATAGGGCCCAGTCATGACAAACTAATTTTACTGTCCAAGCTTTCCAATTTCCTGATGAACTGAACCTCTGTTTAAAGTTTAATCATTCTATGAATACATAAAATACATAGCTGCATATCTCCACTGCTAACGTGCATCACAAGGTAACAAATCCTGAGTGACACACTTGATAATTCTTTTCCTTCCCACAGCCTGGTGTCCAGCACTATTTGACTGAAGGTATTCAGTCCATTGTCAATCCCTATTGGTCCATATTCAGCTTCCATTATGCAATTCAGAAGAGATTTTATGAGATTAATAACAATAACTTTGTTGCCAGAGTGACCTTTAGAATGGTCAGCTGATTAGCCTGTGGCCAGTCCGGTCAGCAGACTGTGCGGAGTGTCTGAACTCTGGGAAGAAGTAAGTTACTTGATGGTGATGATTAATCAGCCCTGTTCCTGCTAACTTGCTAAACATGCAAAGTCTTTGCAATTCAAAAGCTATGTCAAGAATGACACAGTTTTGATTTTTTTTCTTTCATTTGCATCACTAATATTGTAATACTTCTTACAAAATTGTTCATGGGATGTTGGCATTGCTGGCTAGGCCAGCACTAGCCAGCATTTATTGTCCATCTCTGCCCAGCGCGTAGTTAAATGTCAGCCCCATGTCAGCCACATGTAGGCCAAACCAGATAAGGATGGAAGATTTCCTTCCCTAAAAGCACATTAGTGAACAAGATAAGTCTTTACAACAATCAAAATCACTGTTAGGCTAGCTTTTTATTCCAGATTTTTAAAAATTAAATTCAAAATTTCACCATTGGCTATAGTAGGATTTGAACCAAAGTTCACAGAACACTTGTTGTGGCTCTGGATTACTAGTCTAGCTCGATTACTACTGGGTTGTCTCCCTTTCCCCAAAACATGATCTTGCTTCAGAGAAAACCTGGCTCTAAATTGACAAATCAGTCTGAAGAGGAGTTAAAATTGCGAGAATATTTATGTTTTACATGAGTTGTTGAACCGTAAGTGTTACACTGCCAGATTTAAATTTTGGAAATTTCCCATTTCAAAATCCGATTTGAGTGCAAGTTGGAATTTTCAACCATACATTTTCTGATAGATAGCAAACCTTAGCACAATACAAATCATTTGCAACACTCCAACAGTGACAACACAGATAACAAGAATATGCAAGAAAAAAACAGAAAATAAAGTTAATTTATATTTTTACAACACCTTTCATGACTGCTGAATTTGCCATCCAATACCCACCTCTCATGGTTGTTCATAGCCCATATGCCCCAGTCATCCACATGATCCTTTATAGTCCCTCTGCCAATTCAGTGCCAACTTAATCCATACTGGTCACCCTTTGCTCTTCCCTCTCAATCCCAACTCACCTACTGACCGACACATGCATTAATTAGGAGGCATCATGGCAGAAAATATAAATGTTAACAGCCTATTCGTTATGTCCCTATTGA